GCGGCGCCGCTGCCACCATTCCCACGTCGCCCGCGCCCACCGGCCCGTCGCCGTCGCCCCTCGCTAAGCCCATGTCGCCGGCCTCTCACTTCGGCTCGTGGACCGCCGGCCCGACGGCCATGTCGATGCCCGTAGGGTCGACCGGCCCAGTGACGCCCGCGTCGGCGGCCATGGGCGGCCCCGGTGGAGTGGTCCCCGGCGGGGTGGTGGTCGGCATCACCGGCCAGACGCCGCAGCCGCCCACGATGCCGCCCTACTTTGACTCGACGAGCTACTTCTACCAGCTGATGGAGTCGATGGACAAGCTCGAGAAGGAGCTGCGTGTCATCCAGACCACAGCCGACCCGCTGCCCACCTACGCCTACTTCACCTTCTGCCTGTGTATATACTCCCTGCACGCGGCCTGCTGCTGGCGAATGGGCATGAAGGACAAAGCTCTCTTCTGGGCCAAGAAGTACGTTCACGACACGACCAACGACACGACACGACACGACACGACACGACCAACGACACGACACGACCAACGACACGACACACCGCACACCACACGACGCAATGTTGACGTTTTGTTTACTACGACCGATCAGGTTTTTGAGCGATTCGCACAAGGAGGAGTGGCGGTCGTGCTGCGGCGGTCCGCCCATGCAGGAGATGATAGGGCTGGTGCTCAACATCTTCCTTCAGATGAACGAGCTCGAGTCGCTCGACTTCCAGCTGAACCAGATCGAACGGCTCCTGGTCGTCTATCCCGCCCTCAACGCCATGGTCACCCACTTCCAAAAGGTGCCCACCCACGCACATACCGCACATGCACGCACGACGGCTCACTGATTGGGGGCTTGCGGCGCAGGTTCTGTGGGAGAAGAAGGAGCAGCAGTTGATCATGCAGAAGCGAAGGCAAATGTACATACAGCAGCAACAGCAGGGCGGGCTGCCCGGCCCGATGAGCCCGCACCACCCGCTGGCCTCGCCGCCGTCCATGGCCATAGGCATGGGCATGCCCATGCACCCGTCGGCGGGCGTGGGTGTACCCCACGGCCCCATGGCGCACCACATGGGCGGCCACCACCTCCCCGGGCAGGGCCAGCCGCTGCCCTCGCACGTGCCCCAGGTATGTGTCACCACCACCATCATAACCACCGCCGCCGCCATCATCATAACTCAACGCCCTGATGATCGCAGATGTCGCCGCACCAGCCCCAGATGTCGCCGCAGCAGCAACAGCAGATGGCCGCCCAGATGACGCCGCCCCAACCGCAGGCGCAGGAGGGCGCATCGACGGGCGAGATGTCGCCGCCGGGTGCCAAGGGCAAGGGCGGCCGAGGCGGGCGTGCCAATCGCGGACGCGTCGGCGCCTCGGCTGCGGCGGCCACCAAGTCGCGCTCCGGCAGCAGCACCGGGGTCGGCACGCCGGGCCAGACCTCGACCAGTGGCGACGGCACCCCATCGAACCAGACGCCCAACCAGCCCAGCCCGATCTCGAC